CTCAGGCTTATTCTCTATTTGAAATTTTGGACTCATGTCGAACACAAGGTTTTTTTTTTTTTAAAGAAAAGAGAACAAGCAGACGCTGCACAACAGAAAAAATGCTACAAAAATAGTAGGTTGCTACAAAGCTCATTAAAAACTGCCACGGTCCCAGAGACCTAAATCCAGCTTTAAAATCTTGGGAGGTGAACCCCACTGGTAAATGTGCATTTCGAAATTGTTTCGGATACAGTCTGGCTGCTGCGCAGGCTGGCATTTATCGATAGGGACAGATGCACAGAAAGGGATTCCTGGTTGCTTGACAATTCATCTGCCCTTGCAGCTTCACTCACAGGGAGAATTAAGGCACAATATACACACTAAACGGAGGGCAGTGACGTAGAGGATCAAGTCTCTGGGAGGTGGAAGGGCTCTTGTGGTACTGGACCCCTTCCTCACCTGGCCACGACAGCGCAGGGGCTGAAGCCCAAGACTTCATGCAGCAGAGCCACAGGGTGCAAGGCCATGCCCTGGGCGAGGGGAAAACTGGATAGACGAGTCTAAGGGTTTCCTCCGGCCTGAAGATCTGCGGATCTCTTCCCCCCACCTGACATGACGTTGCCTTGCCCCAGCCAAATACAAGCCAGCAAAGCGGGTAATGGACTCTAGATGCCTACCTAGGAGGAGGGAGTAGTCATCAGGACAGATAAACAGCTGAGCAGCCACGATCCCATGCTGACCTGTCGTCTAACCCAGCATCCTGCAAAACATGCAGTCAGCCAAACATTTTCCAGTGAAGCATCTGAGAAAGGATTTTGTGAGGAGCCGGGGGGACATTTGATGAAGGGAACGGACGATGGGTAAGCAATAAAGCTCGCTCAGTGACCAGCCTGGAGGTTCTCATGAGGGGCAGCGGAGCACGAGCTCCACTCCCCACCCCACGCTAATTAAAATAACGAATGAGACTGAAGCAGCCACATTGCCACTTCCCATCTTTGAGTCAACCTCAGAAGCAGCTCACGCAGCTGCCTGCAGTCTCCACCATCAGCGGCGGGTACAGGCCAGAGTGTGAACACGCAGTGGGATGTACATGGCCGGCTGCTTGCACCCGTGCAGGAGCTCAGTGGGTCCTGGCATGGAAACGAGGACTTGCCTGCAGGGATCCCATGCTGTGCTGAGGCCTTGATGATTCTCACTTTGGTTTCCAGCTTCCCTGCACCCACGTTAGCTCCCCTTGCAGCGCTCGAGACGCATAAGGACTGCGCTGCCTTGAACAAGCCCGAGCTGTGGGTGCAGGAGGGAGGCTGCTACCCTGCTCCCCCACCACACAACCTCTCCCCAGCAATCTGCCCCCTCCAAGCCAAGCATCGCTTTCAACTGTTTGTTTTTTGTTTTTTGTTTTTTAAAAAGCTACACCCCCTAAATATTTCTACTGGTCGGAGATGAAAAACAACACAACCCCCACTTCTTCAAAGACCATTTGATGACCTGATGGTGTCATTTCAAAAGCCATCCAAGAGCAACTGAATATTTGAAGAGCTTCAGAATATCATTTCAAATCACTGTTGGCAAATCTATGTACAGTAAACTCAATATATCACCATCCTCAAAGACATTATACACAGCAGGCACCACCTATCTAAGCCACTGAAAATATCACTGTAGGTCACACCAGCTACAAGACTGACTGCTCTGCTCAGATCGTATCCCACATACTTTAATATTGAAACTATACATTCCTTCTCCTGTTTTCAATCACGAGTTGAGAGGGAGAGTAGTCCTGGCTTTTGGGACTTCTCTTGTTTCAGAATTGCTGTCACATGTTGGATTTTTCAAGGCATTGAGGGTCTGCCATAAGGCTCTTCATCTTTGGAAACATCTCTATCGACCTGCATCACAAGATTTCTCCAGGAGGGAGAAAATCTGTACTCGCTGCTTCTAAACTGCGTTCATTTCCATCCAGATCCCTATCTTTAGCCAACACAAGCCTCACAGGTTTTGGTTTCATACAATCCTGCTTCAGACCTTCTACACAATCTAGAAAAAATCAGCACCAGTGGACCTACCATCTCAGCAGGTTTGGGCTAGGAAAACACCGTGGTGTTTATTAACACTGATGCATTTCCCTTTTTCAAACTACTTGCTCACTAAAATACAAAGGTTTCTTTTCCATTTCCTTCACACACAGGCATGTCCTCTTTCCCCAAGATGAAAATATCCAAGCTCGAGATCTCATTTACTTGCCAATGAGTAAGCCTTTGGCACGGTTGCAAACTTGATGTGAATCAGGGGAGGGAAGGTCCTGTGGGTGCACAGCTCTTCACGATACTGAGGAACATGCAACTTTCTTATTCTTAGACAACTGTTGAGAGGCAGTGACACGACCCTGGAGCTTAAGGGCTGACTTTCACCAGTTTCTCTCTTACAGTTGGTCTAACAATAAGACAGAGATTTCTATTTTAGCAGTTATTTGTCTAATATATTTCCCCTTAACTAAATAGGAAGATTTCATTTCCTTCCCTTCAAACCTTCCCCTCAATTGTTATCTGGCTACCAGCAAAGATCTGTGAGAAAGAGTCTCAGAAATAGAGATTTCTGGCATGCCACCTGTTCATAACTCAAATACACAGAACTATATATAAATACATGACATGGAACAAAAATACACACACACAAGGATACTGGGTGGATTTTCAAATGCATTCAGCGTGCTCCCTCTGAAGTCAATGAAAACCCAACCCAGAGCGTCTGATGAGAGTAAATATGGTGAGGAAAACATACACATAAGAAAGGCAGAACTGGAGCACAAGCCAGCTCGGAGGAGGTGCCTTCCCTGCGTACAGCACCGCATCCCCGCTGCGAAGGCTCAAAGAGTTCACAGGGCAGGAGGTCCTAAGCTTTCCAGATGTGTGTCAGAGCCCAGAGAGGGTCTGATGGACTTCTCTCTGCCCTGTGCTGATCTCTGCAGGAACAGCAACAATTGACCTTCCAAATGTCCCTTCTCCACAAAGATGTGGATTTTAAGCTCCTTTTAATGAGAGCTAGCATCTGGAAACAAGGAAGAGCAGCCAGCATCGTGGCAACGGGCCAGCTCTGCTGCAGGCACCCCCAGCAAGCTCGTACAAGAGCAGTCCATGGGCTACTGTTGGCGGATAGCTTTGGGACAAAATTGTAGTTGCTGCCCTTGCCTTTTCCCGACTGCCACAATCGTCTGTTTGTTCGTTATCTTGCGGTGGGACACTTGGGCACGTCATTTTTGAAGCTGGACTGGTACATTTTCATGCCGCTTTCTCACCCACGCTGTCCCCTGCATATACATCTACAGTGCAGAAGGGATGCTTAGTGCTAACCAGGACAACGAAAACTGGCCAAGAGATCCCACGGATGAATGCAGTCTGCCGCAGCACAGAAATCACTCTGGCTGGCACATGCAGATATCTGAAAGTTTGTTCTTTCGCAGCAGGATTTTAAGATGATCCTCTGAGTTCAGACAAAATGACAAACTCATTTACATGTAAATTGCTTTCGTAGCTTTGCAGAAAGGAAGGTTCTGCCGAGCAGTGTTGGACCCTGCATTTGGCCTGCCTTAAATTATAATATAACAACAATTATAATAATACAAATACTACTTTGTACACAAAGCACGCCCTCCCCTGCACACCCTGGCATGCTTCGGTAGGTCCTACAGCCCTCTAGTCAATAATCACCCTCTCTGCACAGAGAGACATTGAGTGACTTGCCTCAGGCCACAGAGGAATTCTGTAGCAAGTTCAAGGAAAGCTTTGTGGCTCCTAGCTCTGCTTCTTGACCAACATTAACCAGCCTCAAATATATGCAAAAAACATCAAAGCTGACTGTGCCAGAAAGAAATTAAATCAGAAAACAAACAGAAAACCAACCCTGGGGTACTGTGAGGCCTCCTGGACTTTGCTGTTTGATCAGGGGAGTTAAGTGTTAAAAGCTTTTGTTATACTTGTATTACGATCACACAGCAACTGCACATAAATCACCGAGTTAGCTTGTAGGCAGACAGGGGTGGAAGGAAAGCTGCACCTCCCCTGACAAGGAGCGAAGAGTTGTCACCAAAAGACAATGGGCAGAGGAAGGCTGGGGAATAGCATCAGAAACAACCTGCAACAGCAGCAGGGGGTAAAGCCTGCGGTGGTTTGCTGCAGCATATCCACAGGGGCCAGCATCTCAATGCAGAGACAGAACCTGACCCTGCAGAGACCGTCTCCTCTGCACACCACGTTTGCTCCAAGGAGGAAGCCACAGGGATCTAGAGAGAGGGTCTTTTCAGACTGATTTTGATGCTTTACAGTTCAAATCTATCTGAAAGGAGGGACGTCAGCAACAAGAAGAGCCACCACAGCCAGGCTAGAGGGGAAAATGGAGCTGCACTAGGACACGACCCTGCTGGAACGGGGAGAATAGTTGGCTTTATTGAAGCTAAGTCTCCTCTCTGCTATGCCAGGGCAGTGGAGATCTCCATTTCATATGCTTTCAAGCAGCCCTCTGGATCCTGCAGAACTGCTGAAATTGTCCCTGTGAACAAATGGTCCTTTCTAGCTTCTCAAATTCTGTACAATAGCAAGGAAAAAATACTTGACAGTATCTCTTTAAAGATAAACACACTGTAAACAGGAGATCTCCCCCGCCCCGGTAGCTTTCTTCCTCCTGCTTGTGCAAAACCAGAGGTTGCGACCTTCCCTGGGGTTCAGGCACAAGGACAGGATGCGCGAGAATAAAGTTGCCTCTGTTTGCAGCGATACCATAGCTAATAGCACCAAGACCAACACTTAAAACATGCCTAATTTGAGGGCAGGGAGGATCTGGGTTTGTTTTTCTTGACTGAACTAGAAAGTTCATCTTTAAATCTGTTCAGCTTCAAGCATGTGAGCTTTTGGCCTCCTTTAAACAGGGGAAATACCATTCCGTTTCTGAAAAGAAAAAAAAATAGCACATGGAAGAACAGTTCTGCAGTCAGTAAAAGTTTGGCTAACAAAAGGACTCCAGAGTCACGTAAAGAACATTTAATCCATGGATTATAGGCTCGCACCTGGCAGAAATGCATGTGTAAATACAGGCGTGCAGAGCGTCTACACCCTGGGCTAAGGCAGAAGGGAGTTCTGTAGCTAGGAGAGAGAAAGGATTCTTACTACTAATTTTCATAGTTAAATATTTCTCACTCGCACTCACACATACGCAGGCTGTTCCCAGAGAGCTCAGCCTTGGGAAGGATAAAGGAAAGGGCTCAGTTCGGTCTGGGCTGGTGCTGAGTAGCTCCTCTTCTGTTTGCAGTGGTTGTGCAGCAAACTCTTTTTGCAGGCAGAGTTTTTACTGCATTAATTATCCTGTGAGTCACTGGGTAATGGACAGTAACTTGGCTCTCCCAGTTGTTAGAAGGGTGTAATTCAGCTCTAATGCAGCGGGTTGTCGAACACGGCATCTGGCAAGATGGAAACTTTCAGTTTCTTTTCAGGCCAGCTGTACTCCTTTGGAAGTTTAAACTGTAAGACAGTAAAGAGAACCAGTTAATGTATATCGCTGCAACCCGCACAGAAAAACCATTGTAAAGGCAGGCAGCCCCATGTTATTATTATTTTTTAAAACAAGAGGCCACTAAGAAAACATTTCCGCATCAGTATGTTTTGGACAGCAGTGGACATTAGATAATGTGGCCTGCGCCTCAGCTGCCAAAGTAAAGTTCTGAGATTTCAGCCCAAGCACTGTTTATTTCATCAAATGGATTCTGGAGGGTTTCTGCCCCCATCACCATTTCCCCTCCCTGACCTCTCTGAAAATTCACAGCACAAGTATCTCCCCTCCTACCTGACCATATCCCTTTCTTTTCACCTACCCCAGCCTCCGGAGCCCCCGTTTGCTTTAAAGGGAGACTTATGGCAGCTTTCAAACTCTTGCTCGTACGGGGTGGGATGTAAGGGAGCTAGCATGGTTCTGCCAGGTGACAGGCTTGCAAATGGCCATCACCTCCAGGAGGGCAAACCGTTGCCACCCTGGCTGGGGAGAGCCAGCATGCCTGAACAGCATTTCTGCTCCAGCCCTACCCACCTCTGGTACAAAGGCTTTGCAGTGTGCCTGTACAATGCCTCATATTCACACAGGCAGCCGGCTGCTCGGGCTGTTTTGCAAACATTGATTGAAGCACAGGGAATGGAGATTTTTTGCTCCAGTCTGGTTTACACAGCACTGTCTCTGGCCAATGTTTCCCAAACAAGGGAAGTGCACTGGTCCTGTCCTGCCGTTGCTCCAGGGCATCCCGCCTCAGGCTGGGAAGCCACCCCAACATCTCTGATCCCAATCATGACTGTGTGGGGATGGAGGTCCAAGGAGCCTTACCACCAACCCTTCTCAAAACCGCCTTTGACCAGGGCCCATGCATTCACACAGATGTCTCAAAAACAGCTCTGTGGGGGGGTGTGGGAGGTGGGGGCTGGAATCTCTTAGGCTACAGATCTGCCCCACAGCTGGATGGCAACCAGTTCTGGACAAGCATTGCATGCAATCCCAGTGCCCAGACTGAGGGTCCAAAACCCGTGGGGGACAGCTCTGGAAGCCAGTTTGCAGGATGATTTTGTTTTTAAAACTCTGTTGCCCCCATGGTGTAGCACCGCCTGACACCCCAAAGGGACTCCCAGGGGGAAATCTCACCGGGATCCCACACCACCAGTGACAATCCAGAACGGTTACAGATACAGTGGTCCTCTCCTAGGAGAGTCCTCAGACCAAGGCCAGCAGTGCTGTAAGCTTCCCAGGGGCTACATGAACTAGAGAGTCGGTGCAAGGGGACAGTGACCTGCAAATCATCTATCTTCATCCAATTACTTGTCTTTCTTCCCGTAAGTGCCCCATTTCTGAAGGACATCACCACACGCTCAGTGGCAGGTTCCTGCTAAAGGAGATCCCCTCCAGCTGCCTGCTCCACAGCAAGGGCAGCTCTAACATGAATTTGCTCCTGACCTTGCTCCGTTTGCAGCTGTGTACAAGGGTAACCTGCAGTTGGTACCCATTGACCTTAGCATGCCGGGCTGGCCGTTCAGGGTCTGACCCATGATATGGGGGCATGGCAGGAGGATCGTTCAGGATAGTGGCTACCCTAAACTCCCACTCTTTCTCCTCTAGGAAACATAAACAGCTCAAGTTCCACTTATGGTTGGTTTTTTTTAAACTCAAGCTCTGCGTATATCTTGCACCATATAATCTAGTGGCCGTACACTGCCCAGGGGATTCTTCTGAGTTCAATGTCTAGGGTATGTGAAAAACATGTTAAAGATACTCAGACAGATCATTTCACTTAATCTCACTTAACACAGGTGGCTCTTTATGTAGCAAAGGAAAGACTCTCCTTGCAGTGCTTCGTTCTACCACACGAATATCATCATCAACAGCCAGGGCTGCTGAGGAACGCCTTCAGTTGGCCCAAACCAGGATCCTGCAAGTTACAAATCCTTGGAGGAATCTGGATGCTGAAAGATCACATTTCATCTCAAGTATTTTCCTTTTTATAAACAGGAGTGGTTCCAAAGCAATCCTCTTGGAGAAGCCATCCTTTGCATTTGTTTGTTTTTCATTTTTTAATTTAGCAAAGTCGCAGTAACTCAGAACCGAGTGCCCGCTCGCTGTGCCAGGAGCTGCCATGCCCATTGCCTCTGTCTCTCAGCGGAGAGCGAAGGAACATGAGCCGTCCAAAGCCTTAACTTAAAGGGCCTTCAAACCACAGTGCTCCTGGGCTTCCATGTCACTAGCAAAAATGAGCTTTGGATTAGGTTTAACGGGATAAAAGCTGGCCTGAAAGTCACTGCACAGCCAGCAGCGTGCTCCCCTCACTCACACAGTGAAGAACACCCTGGCATTAAATCAACTCTGGATTAAACAATTAAAGCCCTGAGATTTTCCTGGGGGGAGGGGAGCAGGGCAAGGGATGGGAGGGCTGCTCTACAAGCCAAGGAAAGTTTCTTTAGAGTCTGCAGGGAGCTGTAAAAAATAGGATTAAAAATATTACATGTCATTTCTGCCACTGCTCTTTGAAGTCAAGCAGAATATTTATATGGCATGCATGGGAGACAGGGTGTTAAATGTTCCCCAGGAAGAGATCACATGGCAGGGGGAAGTTTAGCACCACACAGCAAAGCTTTATAAAGCTCCCTTGGCTGCTGCTATTACGCTTCCAGGCTGGTGATGGTCCTCTGCACGCTGTGCAGGGGCAGCAGGTGAAGGCCAAGTAGCAGATGTGAAAAAGCCCCATCTGCTCCCCAAACCCCAAGAAGGAGGCCCCTACAACAGATTGTTCAGCAGTAAATGTGCTGCCACCACTTTCAGCCTTTCTGAAAGCGGGGAAGGTGATGTGCCTGGAGCTGCTGCCGAGGACACTATGCACGGCATGGAGGAAACCCCGCCACCTGGCCCAAGTGCTGCACCGCTTTGATTTGGGGCACTCAGATACCACGGCAGGAAAGATGCTGGCGGAAAGGAAATGCAGTGTCCCACATACCCATCCCTGCCCTGTATTTCTCGCAATCCCTTCTCTCAGTGCCTTAGTTCACAGCAGATGTGAAGGTTTAGCAAGGCCTCAAGACTACAGGGCAGGGCTGCAGCCTGCGAGCTGAGGGGAGGATCAAAGGCAAGCTGCAGGACGGGCTGAGCTCTCTGGGACAGTACATGGGAGATATGGGAATGACGCAGCCTTACTTCCTCTGGAGAATTCAGATCTTCTAAATCTTCCAGCATTCTCTCTACAAACTCTTCGGTCAATAGGATCTGCAAAGGAAATACAGTCGTTTACGCCTTTACACTCCTAGTTTTAGCTAATTGCCAAGAAACAGAATGACTTCTGCAGAGAGCAGACTGTACCAGCTCACTCCTTCCCCCATGTCCTCCTCTCCCACAATACAACGGTTTGAGGGAAAGGAGCTCCTAACTTTGCCTCCCACCCCAACCACTGCAAAAAAATGTTAAAATTATACAGCAATCTTTTTTGACCCTCAATTATCTTCCTCAGTCTAAAATTAGAGGCTCGCTTTAGACAGACAGAGTGGGGAAGGAGGAAAAGGAGTCAAGATAACAACTGTTGGAGAGACAGTGGGAGACAGAGATGCTTTCATCTGACCCATTGAAGTTAAGGTCACAGTTTAATCAGGAAACAGGAGCATAGGGAGAGCCTGAGACCCGTACAGAGCCGGTGCTCTGGGCACGGGGAGGGCTCTGACCCGCGTGCAGCACATCGGTCAGACGAACCAGACGCTGGGTACGGGAGGTGCTCCCAGAGGTGCCAGCGCTGGGCACCTCCACGTCGTATCGCACGTGCCCATCGTGCGTGCCTGTGCTGGGAAAGCTTTTGACTCATCTCAAGGCCAGACTGGCAAGCACGAAGTGGCCCAGGAAAGCGGCTGCTGACGGGTCAAAATTCCAGGCTGAGGGCCACGACCCTGGCTCCATGGAGCCCCCCAAATCACACAAACCAGAGCCACCGGGGGGAAACCGGCCCCGCGAATTCAAAGGGAGGAACTCCCACTCTCTTTAAAAAAACACGTGATAGCCAAAGGCAAACACGTCCTGCCTCTCTTCACAACAGTCGTAAAGGCCAGAGCTCCAGGCAGGCCAGCTGGCTTGGCACAGGAGCAGAGACGGCAGTGCGGGACCAGGCAAACATCCCCCCTGGGAGTTAGGTTGCAGCAGTATCCAGCAGATTATTCCCATTTCAGCCTACAGGTTTCTTTCTTCCCTCCTGCTCCTCCTTTCCTTCCTTTGCTCCACCCTTTCCTCTGACTCTGGCGTTGCTTTCCATCCTGAAGCAACACCATCCCCATGCCCCCTTTCTCACCCTTCCCTTTCCCTGTTCTCCCCAGCCACAAGCTCCGTGCTCGCTCCCAGAGAAGGGACTGCTCCAGCACCAAACACTGACAGAGCTAAGTGCCCAGCCCCACCGCTCTCCACTGGCCCAGCTCACGTCCGGAAGAGGGGCAGCCAGGCTGTCCCACCGCCATGCAGGAAGCCACCTCCCATGCCCACCAGCTCCTTGGTGCCAGTAACACCAGTGGGGAGCGAGTGACCGCCAGCATGCCGTGGGCTGTTTGGCAAATGGAAGCCTCTGGGCTCCATTTTGGTAACACACAAACACGGCTATTGGACAGGAAGAGAAAGGGAAGACTCTCGTCTCCCTTTCTTCCTTTGGTTGGCAAGAGAAGAGGTCCAGAAACACCAAATCCAGATCGAAGAGCTCCCAGGTGTCTGCAGTTCTCTCGCCTTCAGCCTTGCCACCCTGCTGCCTCTCGCCTTCAGCCTTGCCACCCTGCTGCCATTGCACACAGATTTCCCAGGGGATGAGGAAACTGCAACCTCCCCTCTCCACCACATTCCCCTCTTTGCTTAGCTTCAACCTGCAGCAGGCTCCAGGCCAGGATTTATGACCAAGCTGCTCAGCATGGATGCAGACACCTCCGTCAGGCCTTTCTGATCATACCTCGAGCCTGAAAAAACCCCGCTTCAGCTAGGAGCCAGGAGCTTGCTGCTTTGGACAGGCTCTGCAACCTGGCACCGATCTGCAGACTGGCAAGCTGAGAAACATTGCACTGAAACACGCAGTACCACCGCAAACTACTGCAGTCTCCTTGCAGGAGCCTGTAACTATTCTGCCTGTTGAACTGGAGACACTTGTTTGTTGACTGTTTGCAGGAGGAGGAAGCTGTCTGTCCGTGTCGGAGGCAGGAGGGCAACCCGATCGCTCAGCTCAGAAGGAAGAGCTGGGTGGGGAGTCGGGGCTCTGCACGGAGCAGATCGGTTTCTGCGGAGGTGCAGCCTGCAATGGGGTGAGGGAATGAAAACAATTTGGCAGACATCAAAATCTACAGAGCAGCCGGAAAAAGGAGGAGGAATTGGTATTCACAGCAATCAGGCAAGGAGGAAATGAATATTCAGCCATCCACGGATGAGCAAAAATGCCAGAGGTTGGGATGGGTGAGAGAGCAGGAAGGAGGAGCCGCAGCTTTGGCAGGGGGACTAGAAGACAAGCGCAGCAGGAAGACCCCTGGGCGCTCCCAAGGTGCCAGAGGCAGGAGAGAAATGGGAACCACGTGTGCAAGGCAGCCAGCTGCTCTGAGGCTGGAGGAAAACAAGACAGGGTGTGCAGGGGTAAACAGCAAAGGGTGGAGAGAGTGAAGAGGGGGACAGGTCAGGTCCCAGCTAAGCCACAGGCTCCCAGAGTAGGGAACAAACCTACATGGAGCACTTTGGCTAGTTCTGACCTGGGGTGCAACCCCCTGCGATGGCTGAGCCTGTCTGCAGCTCACTGCCCCCTCTCAGTGAGTTTTGGTAATCCAGCTGAAAAAAACCCCAAATTCCACTGATTTAGTGAGCTGAACTGGCTCCCTGAAGGGCCTGACAAGTGGAGTGGGACAGGATTCCACAGCTCAGCTGTCTCGTGGACCGTGTTTGTGGGATCAAAGCAATGGCAGCCTGCTCTATGCAGCATACTGAGAAAAGATTGCAGCGCTGTTCTGCAAGCCCTGCACAGACAGTTAACTTTGGTGGAGGGCAGGCGTCACAGGCTGCAATGACAAACTGCTGCAGTGACATTCACACGGCGTGTCACTCAGAGCCCATCCTCAGCAGCCTGAGTCAGAAAAAACCCACCCCAAGCCCTACTACCCCACGCTGCTGGGGAGACCTACTCTCCCTCCTGGAGAAGAAGGGAGTCTCCGAAGCGCGGGTGTAACCAAACGTAGAAGCAGCCATGTCCCTCGGCACTCCTGAGCTCTCCTGAGGATGAGGGGGAAGGCATGTGTCCGTGGCACACCAGCTGCTGGAGAGGGCTTTGAAGCAAGAAGTATTGTCATCCTGAATTCACGTCTAGACAAGATTTCTCCTCTTAGAAGTAGCCCAATCAAAACGGCCCAAGAGCATTAAGGCCTGTGCTCGTAGATCAGGCTGCCATCCCCACCTGCAATCAGCAAAACCGCCTTCATGGTGGTGAGTGAGTCTTTGCTTCTATGAGAAGGATGAGAATAAATCCAATCCCATCTCAGCTTCCCTCACTCACAATATTTCTGGTTTCCAGTTCTTGTAGCATGCCTGCTCCTTCACAGTATGACACCCCATTACATTAACACACACACGTTATATGTGCATGATATTAAAGGTGACATTCTCAGCAAATAAACATGACAGACTGCCATTGCTCTAGGCACCTAATTTAATTTCCTCTGGGATTTAAACCTTAGAAGCTCAAATTAAACAAATAGGCCCCGTTCACTTTATATTTCAGACCTGGATCTAGAGTTTTCCTCCAATGCTGTTAACTGATCTTATCAACAGGACACTGCACAGAGATCATAATGATGAAGCAGCTTATTCCCTTTCCAAAGGAAAACAGAGCCCCGCTGTTGTGCTGCAGCCATGGGAAAAGCCGACACAATTTGGAGGGCAAACGAAGCCATCCCATGGGCACTGAACAGGCCTTTTCTCCCATGAAATCTCTCAGCTGGTGTTGAGGAAGCAAAGGAGCTCTCCCGAGCAGCGGCGGGCATCCCGGGTGCCGCAGCGGCCAGGCACTCGCAGTGCTGTGTTTTCACAGCTCTGTGCAAACACTCCGCTGGCCCAGCCTGCCGAAGCTGGTTAGAGGGTGTAGCTCAGCCTTTGTAATGGCTGTTTGCAGTATGAACAGGGAACGGCCTCACCAGCCAGCTGCGGGTATCTGAAACATCTCCTTCAGTGCTGCACAGTCCTGCTCACACCAGGATCTCCCTGACCTGACCCAGAGAGGCTCGGACACATGATATCCCATTGCTAGCAGGTCTAGACTCCATTTCTGTGTGCTTTGCAGCTCTGTGATTGTTAGTCATGCTGCAGATGCTTGGAAGATGATGACTAGCCAAAAGATTAAGTCCCTGTTTTCTATCACAGGCACCTACCGCACAACTGAGGTCCGAAGTTTGGGTTCTTACTGCCTCACTAATAGCTGCATGTGTCCAGACACGTTACAAAATACCAGGCTAGGCTGTCTCATTCAGGTGGATGTGTTCAGGGAACACACGAGCTGCGTGCATGATGTCTCCCTCTCGTGGCAAGTCCCACCTGAGCTTGCTGAAACCTCCTTCTTACCTACAGGGCTTACCTATGGGTCAACTGAAGGAGCTTGCGTTGAAGCTTTTGGTGTTGAAGCTTTTGTACCTGCAGATAGTTGAGAAACCTGTATTGTGACTCGTTACAGGTACGTGGCTGCGAGTGTATGAAAACAGCTGAGATCTAAAAATGTACACAAGGTCATGGGGCTCTAGACCAGATCGGCTGACTTTGAAAGCAACCAGTTCTTAGTAAAACATTAAAAACTTTATAGTCAGCTTATAGGTACCACCCCAGAGTTAACACCCCATCTCTCACTATAGGGTTCAACCCTACCATGAGGGCTTGAAATTCCCTATCTCAGGAAAGACTGGATGGGGCCAGAGGTTACACCGATGTTGAAAGCTTGGCACAGCTGGCAAGCCTTTGATCAAGGAAGATCCTCAGAAGCTGAGCTAGGAATCGAGCTGCAGCTCTGTCCAACTTCAGGAAGCATGCTTTGTCCAGGGCAAGACACAAGCGATTGGCCCAGGCACAATTAAACAGGGGTGCTTTTACTGATAATACCCAATTTTCTTGCCTATCTAGAAACAAACCAAACAATCTCACACTTTGCCTTAGTGCTTTGTTTGCTTTAAACACTGCCACTGGCTTTTCTAGCAGGTTTGTCAAAGAAATGAAACCATGTTTTATTAGTTCTG